AAAAGCAGTTCAACAGAGAGGGGGCCTTTCCAGCAAATGGTGCTGGGGCAGGTGGATGTCCATAGTCAAAGAGAACGGAGGCTCACACCTTAGATATACAGCAGCTCATAATGGATCACAGGCTGAAACGTAAAACATAAAACTGTGAAACTTTTAGGAAAAAAATAGAAAATCTTAGGATCTAAAGCTAGGTAAAGAGTTCTTAGACTTGACACCAAAAGCACCATCCATCAAAAGAAAAATTGATAAACTGGGTCCCACCAAAATTAGAAACATTTACTTTGCAAAAGACACGGTGTTAAGAGGATGGGAAGAGAAATCACACACCGGGAGGAAGCATTTGCAAACCACATCTGGCAAAAAACTTGAATAAAGAACTCTCAAAACTCAACCGTAAAAAACAAACACTCCAATTAGAAAACGGGCAGAAGACATGAAGGGACATTTCACCGAAGAGGAGGCACAGAGGGCACATGAGCCACCAGGGAATGAAAGCTACAACCAGAAGGAGGTACCAGTGCACACCTGCCGGGCGGCTAAAAGACAGGGACGCACCAAATGCTGGTGAGGATGTGGAGAAACGGTCAACCACACACTGCCGGCGGGAATGTAAAACAGTGCAGCCGCTCTGGAAAACAGCGTGGAACTTTCTTAGAAGACCACACACGTGCTTCACACAACCTGTATTGCTGTAGCCAACCCCCACAGACACGTCCCTACCGGGGCCAGTGTTGCAGCTGGACCAGCCCTTGTGGTTCTTACTGTGGTTGCAGGATGCACTTCAGCACAACCCATCAGGAATGCTGAGGAGCAAGGTTTTATTACTCACACAGGTCCTGGAGGGTACTCGCCATGCCCGAAGGGCCACACAGCGAGGTCAAGGGGAGGGAGAGAGCCAGCGAGCTCAGGTGTGGGGCTCCGCCTTTGTTGAGGTCGAGGGTGGGGTGCCTACGGTTTCAAGGCTTCCCTCTTATGGCTAATTTGAAGCTTCAGAGCAGGAATGAGGGTGTGGGAAGGGAGAAGCGGGACCACTCAGGCAGTCAGTAATCCAGGTCAGCCAGGGCTTTCTGAAAGAGGGACCTTGTATAAAACAGACACCAGATCTCTAACAATTAGGACTAAACACAGAACGTAAAACGGCCCATGACAATTTCCTGCTCTATTGGGCTAAATGAGCTATATTCTCACAATTAATTTCACCTGCTTTAAAACTTTTCCAAGTGACTACCGGGAACACTTTAAATGACATATGTGGCTCAGATTGTATTTCCATTGAAATCCAATATTTGGGGGATAAAAAAGACAAAGTGTCTACAAAACACCCACTTTAAATATAAATACATATGTTAAAAGGGACAAAAAAGGAAATTCCATGCTAACGCTAAATAAAAGGAAGTTGGAGGGGGGACATTAACCTCAGATAACCTATATGCAGAACAAGGAGCAGGGATAAAGAGGGACGTTTCTAATGATGGCGGTCATTCGTCCAGACCACATTATTCCCAAGTGTGCAGGCACCTAATGTGGGAAGTTTTAAATCTATGAAGCAAAGCCACTAGGACAATGGAACACTAGAAAATCCACGATTAGTGAGATATTTGAGCACTGCTTTCAGTAATGGATAGACGTACACAAAAATTAGGCAGATGGTAGCTGCTCCTCAGGTTGATAACGACCAGCACCGTCACCAACTTGACCTAATGGACGTTTGTAGGACACTCCCAGCCAACACACTCTTTTCAAGGACATGCGAAATAACCACGATATTGTGGAGCCTAAAACAAGGCTCAGTGAATCTAGAAGGAATGGAACCAAAGGATATTCTGAGACCACAATGGAATTAAAACCAGAAATTGATTTTTAAAAAATCTGAAAAAAAAATCCAACATCTGGAAATTAAACCACATTTCCAAACAACTCATGGATCAAAGAAATCCCAAGGGAATTTAGAAAGAAAAATGCATGTCAACACATATAGGACTCGGGTAAGCGTGCTGCAGGAAGAACGACAGCGCTTCGTATCAGAAAGCAGCTTTGCAGACGGCTCACTCCTGGCAGGCAGTTGCTGGCTGTTGGCAGGAGGCCTCAGTTCCTCGCCACGGTGACCTCTTCACAGGCACGTGAGTGTCCTCATGACGTGTGGCTGGCATCCCCCAGAGTGGGTGGTCCAAGTGTTTTTTAAGGTGACCTTGCCGAGAACAAGATCAAGTTTAAGTCTGGATGCTAGGTGGACAATTTCACTGTCTCCCACACGCCAGCCCACAGCTTCAAGTTTGTGCCCCTGCAAAACTAAACACTAACTACCTCCGGCGCTGAGCATGAGAGGGCACCGCATTTCACGTTCCGTGGTGGGGGCTGAAGTAACAAGGATGGGCAGTATCGTCTAAGCTGAACATACGCGCACCTATGAGCCAGCAATTCCAGGCCCAGGTACACCCCCAACAGAAATGTCTGCCTGTGTCCAAAAGACAGGGACCAGAACACTTACGCAGCCAAAATTTGGAGACTATTCGAATGCCCATTGATACATTGTGGTACTTTCACATCAGAGAATACTATGTAGCAAGGAGGATGCTCATGGCACAACCACGTGCAACAATGTAGATGGATGTCTGGAAAAGAGCAGAGCCCAAGTAGAAACGACAAAAGGCAAAGGGGGTGGGGCGTGGGGTCCGGTGACTAGATGAAACTTGGGGGACCTCTCAGCTGCTGGTGAATGTCCCATTTTTGGTGATGAGTGTTACATGTGTGTTCAGCTGGTGAACTTTCAGTATGTATATTCCATGTGCACTTTCCGGTAGTATTCTACACTTCCATCAGAAGGAAAAAGAATGAGAATGCTCAGAATTAAGAAATATAACCAGATTTTTTTAGATCAATGAGCTGGAACAAAGCCAAAGGAATCTCCCAAAAAGTAAAACAAAGAAACTAAAGAAGAATGCAAAATAGGAGATAAATAAAATTAAAGGGTGTGTAAAAAAAGCCAATCCCTTGGTTCCCACAGCAAGGCAACAGCTGAAACTGACAAATCCAGAAACTGCTTTGAGAACGGGGAGCCGGCGATGGGTGGCCCAGTCTCTTCAAGTCAAAGTCACGGAACGAAACGGGGATGCCGCTGTTCTAGGTGAAGAGTTGAGAGACGTAAAACCCTTTAAAATACAGCATGTGGGTTGCCATAGGTCTGCGTTCAAACGAACCAACTGTAAAAGAAATTTCTGAGACAAGTGCGGGCATGTGAGTTTGGACTAGTTTATTAGCCAGGGTCCCCGCAATACGGCTCACATGCAACTACTCAACTGAGATTTGTCAAAGACCTTTAATGGAAGGACTGATTCCAGAGGCGTGGACACGGTTTCAGAACCCAGGAAGAAGCCATTTCTGCCCCTGGGGTGGGGGAGCCAGAGCCCCCGAGGCTGCAGTCATAGAGGGAGGCAGCCCCACGGGGAGGATCCTGCAGCAAAGGGTGCTGCATCCCGCCACCTGCTGCAGCCTGAGGCTGGGCCTCCACCGGCCACACCAACCTGGAGCCTGAGGTCAGCGTGTCCTGGGGCAGAAAGGGGAACAAATGGGTCTGCGTGGGCAGAGGGAGAATGACTCTCCCAACTGGGGAGAAGGAACAGGGGCAGGAGGAAAGGGCAGAGCAGGTCACCATCACAATAAGCTGGTCACTATGATTTGGTCCCTGTCACGTGCACGTATGACCTTGATAAGAATGAAAGCCACTGAAAACCAACCACTGGGAAGACAGATTGCCGTGATCCCTCCCAACTCTACTCTCTCAGCTCCTGCCGCCGCTTCAGCACTACCTCGCATTGCCAAGCGTGCCTGGGCATCCGTATCAGGCGCCAGAGGACCCGCCTCAGACACTGCTCAGCTCTGCCCGTGCCGTCCCTACCTGAGCCCCGGCAGGGAGGACCGGGGCTGACACCTGAATCTCAGACACCTGCCCACCCGTCCACGGGGACACAGCAAATGCTAGTGCGAAAGAAGGTCAATGAGAACACAGGAAGAGGAGCATTTGGTTTTTTTTAAATAAATTAACCAGTTAATTTTTAAAACTACATGGATTTAAAAGGGATCTTAAATAGGAATCAGCAAACTTGTCTGCAAAGAGCCAGATAATAAATATTTCAGACAATGCAGGCCATATGGTCTCCACGGCAACTCCCGCGCCCTGCCGCTGTGGAGGGCAGACCTAGCGAGGGAGCAGACCCAACTGAACCAGCATGGCTGTGCCCCAGGGAAATTTTATTTGTGGACACTGGAATTTAAATGCCATATAGTTTTCCAATATCAAGGAACATTATTTTTCTTGATTTTTCACCTGTTTAAAACGTAAAACCCAATCTTAGCTCACAGGCCGTACAAAATCAGGCAGCAGGCGGGATGTGGCCTGTGGGCCAGTTTGCTGACCCCTGTCTTGAACCACAGACACCAACAAGACCAAACCTAAATTTCTCCTAAAAAAGAATTTCAAAACAGATTACTAACGAGAACACCCCCTACGCCCAATGAAGTGCTGACAAGGCCAGGCTCCTCCTACAGGAGGGCCAAGGCTGGGCACCCCCATTCCACCCGGGCACCCCCATTCCACCTGGGCACCCCCATTCCACCTGGGCACCCCCATTCCGTCCCGGGCACCCCCATTCCACCCGGGCACCCCCATTCCGTCCCAGGCACCCCCATTCCGTCCCAGGCACCCCCATTCCGTCCCGGGCTCGCCCCCTCTGCTCTTGAACTACTTTTGCCCAACCCAACCCCCAGCCTGGGGCGTGCGGGTATCCCTGCTGGGAGGCGAGCCTGAACAGTTCACAAACAGCACTGTTTTCAGATCAACGCTTACAGTGACACCAGGCACTTCGGGAAAAGCTGCAGCATTCCAGCTTTTGATACAGAAACCGATTTGTTTCCAAGGGCCCCCCAAAACGCCCACACCAAAAATTTCTTTTTCTTCAATTCAAAAAGTGAACATTTCAGTCACAGACAGTACACTCATCAAAAATGGTTTTGCTCAATATATTCTGAAACATGTTGCTGCTGAACATTTCTAGAAGCTGCAAAAAGCTCATCTTTATTGATAGGTGATTAGAACTCAGCTGACACCCCTGCTCTTTGCAGCGTGGGCACAAAGTTCAAATTGAAATAATAAATACACATGATGTCATCAATCGCTTCCCTGCAGAACTCGGTCTGCAGCCAGGGCCCCAGGGCCTCGCACACCCTGAAGCAAGTCCGCTTCCAGCACCAGCACGGTCCCACCGAGCTCACCACTCCCCTCACAGGGGCAGCCCACCACGTGGGGCGTGGGCACGTGCGCTGCAGCTCATGCTGATGGAGGACTGCCACTCGGGTTTCAAGAGCCCACGTGACGAGTGGCTGCCTGCTGGGAGCGCAGCATTCCACCCAGAAGGACGACACGACAGGAACAAAACGAAAATGTGGATCAGGCCGCCACAACAATGTTCGCTATCAGATTTCCCCTGGAGGAAATGCATCCAGCGTTGGGGGCATCTCGGGAAGAACAGAAAAGTCAAAACTGCCTCTCCTGCAGGGCGAGGCTCGTCCGACAGGGAGACAGAGCACCCCAGGTCCTCACCCCTCACCTGCAGCACCGCCAGGCGAGCGGACACACGGGACGGCTTCCCTGCAACCAGAAGGAGCTCAGACACCAGACGGAGGAGCCTCTGCTCGGCGACAGAATGTTCTAGAGCCCAGGACGCCGGCCAGTATCTGGGACAGCCCCAGGGGCCCGCTGAGCTGGTCTGGACCTAACTGCTGCCAAGTGTGCATGGGGAAAGACGCCCCCTTTTCTTCCTAAAGAGCTGCGGCAGGGAGGGGCCGAGGACAATCCGCTTCTGCCAGTCCGAGGTGGAGAGAGCCGTCACACCACCAGGATGAGCGCTCAAGGGCCCGCCCCTGACTTCATCTTCTTGGTCTGTCCGTTGGGCCCAGGAGGAGGGTCCTTCCGGCGCTTCTTCTCCAGCTGCTGCTGCAGCCTCTCCTCCTTCTTCTTGAGGTAGGTGCTCATGTTGTCGAAGGTGGCCTTGTAGAGACTGCTGAAGCCGTCGGTCATGCCAGCAGAGCCTGAGCGGGAAGAAGAGAACAGGCCAGGTGGGACAGTGACTTGGGACTCTGCCTCTAGCGGGGAGATCAGGGGGGCTGACAAGGTCCTCCTGCAACAGGGATTAACCCAGTGACCACCCAGCATTCTCCGTGGACCTGTGGTGCCTTCTCCAAGACGGCCCCCACAATGCCCACCTGCTGGTAGCCATGGCCTGACTGGACCCAGGACTTACTTCCAACAGAACACACAAGTCAGGTCATCACAGGAGACCAGGGACAAAGGTTGTGGGCTGCATCCAGTTGGCACTTGTCCCCACGCTCACTCGTGAAACCGCCAGGCCATGAGCTGCCCTATGGAGAGGCCTGTGTGCAGGGCACTGAGGATGGCCTCCAGCCAACAGCCAGCAAGGAAGAGAGGCCCTCAGTCCACCGGCCCACAGGGAGCTGGATCTGCCAATGGCCCCTGGCAGGCCTGGAAGTGGATCCTGCCCCGTGGAACTCGGGACCACTGCGGTCCCCGCTGACACCCCGACTGCAGCCTGGGGGAAGCGCTGAGATAAGCAGCGTGTGTTGTTCTCACCTGCTAAGCGCAGGATAATGTTTCACAGCCACAGGTAACAGGTGCAGGCTGATACAAGTGTCAAGGCTTGAGGGGCACAATGGGCCTCAGACCAGCCCCACTGAGAGCGCCTCGCCCTAGTCCTCTCAAAACTCCACAGGCCCCGTGAGTAGTGTGCACGCCTGTGTCCTGCCCGCGTGACCTCCACCTGCCCTCGAGCTCGTGCCAGCTCTCCCCCGCTCTGTGCTTCTCAAGGTCCGCTCGCCTTCCTCCCCCGGGCTCTCTCCCTTCCTCCCCCGGGCTCTCTCCCTTCCTCCCCTGGGCTCTCTCCCCACACCTGTGCTATAAACAGGCTGTTTTATCTGCAGAATCTCTTAGGGAAACTAAGCACAACCTGCCGTGGCCTGCGTGAGGTGATGCTTAGCAGGACGAGCAGGCCCTGGGCCCCCGTGGCGAGGTGGCATGTGCCAGGCTGGGAGCGTCACCCCCTGTTCCCCGATAGAGTCCCGCCACAGTTCCACTTTGACGGTGCTGCTAAAGCACATCCAAACAGAGCTGGAGAGGACACAGACCTGTCACTGCCCCAGTCCTTCAATCCTACAAGGAAGGAGGGACGGACGAGAACTCTAGGACACAGAGACAAGTCACCCGAGCACGCTTTGTGTGAAACGATTACGTCACTGCTGGCGGAAACGGAAACTGAGTCTCCGTTTGACTCTCTGTAGAGCTCCGGGGAACCCTGACTTCCACCTGGAAGGTAGTTCGGCTGTGCAAGATGTCTTCTGAGCAAGAATTTCTTTATTCCAATGAAGGCACCTGGATTCTAATGCCGCGAATTGCCACAAATGACCCTTCAGACACTGACGCTTCCAGTCTCTGCCCAAAAGCAGCGTGTCGGAAACAGACAGAAACTGCGTACCTGGGAGTCTGCCTTCTGCTCCCGACGTGAACGAGCAGGGTTGCGTTGTGTTTGTGCTCTAACAGGACTAACAGTGCTGCACTCGGTGCCACCATGGGTCCTTCAACTGACCGGGACCCCAGGTTCTGACAGGCTCCTGCCCTCCTCACTGAACATGGCGGCATGGGGTGGGTGAAATGGTTTCTGGCTCCCCCTCTGGCCTCAGCCTGGTGCTCCTATTAGGGCACTAAAGCCCTCCACCCGCCCTGGGCCGTGAGGATGCTCTGGCCGCCCCACGGACTGTGAGTCACTCCTGCTCCATCTGGGGCCACACCAGGTGCCGGCCCGGCCCTGCCCTAGGGACTTCCAAGGCCCAACTCTCTGCTCCAGCCCTGACCCCAGCTAACACCCAGCTCTGTGACCCCAACTCAGATGCACACCGAGCCTTCCTGCTGGGCGTGAGTTACCTCCACAGGGCCCTGGCCAGCCCCCAGCCTTGTGGATGGGGACAACCCTCCCACACACAGCCTATATTCTCACGGAGCAACAGGTTCCTACTATCCACCATGTTCTGTAATCTGCTTCAGAACCCCACCCTGCAAAGCAGCCACGCTTGCGTCCTCACCTTCCAGCATGGCCCAATTCCCGCGGAGATGAGCGGAGACTTTCTTTAACACAGCATTTTCAGGAACAGACTGAGAAGACACACAGAAGACCTTCGTGAGAAAGAGGAAGGGCTGAAAACCCCCGGTGCTGCCAGCACAGTAATGGGCAGAGCTGCTGATGGGGCGCGGGCTGCCGGGCCCAGGGAAAGACCCCCTCTCTGGACCTAATAAACGTCCCCACTAATCTTTATGCTAAGACCAGGCGGAGCTGGTGAGCCATTCTGGCTCCCCAAACCCGGCAGCAACCACACCCCACCACGATCAACACCGTGACGCCAGGGCTGCGGTGCTCCCCGTGCTGGCTCATGTCGTGTGACGCTATCGAAGGCGCCTGCCAGACCTGACAGGTGCCAGCTGGTGGCATTCTGTCCACCTCAACTTTTCAGATAAGAATACCTGAGTGGTCAGGGGCATCTTGAGGGCACTCAGTCGCATGAGCATCTGTAAAGGATGTGGAAGTCTAGAAAGGGCTGTGGGAGCCACATCAGTCCTGCGAGATGCAGGACGGGCCAGAGGAGCCAACTCAGAGAGAGTGTAACGTTCACCCATGACACCCAGCAAGGAGGCGCTTGCTTAGCCCACAGCCTGCATGCATTCCTCTGCACCTGCGGCCTCCTGAGTCCAGTGGGACCACTGTCCCAGGAGCAAGGCTGTGCTAAGCCTGCAAACCAGGCTTAAGGACACAACCAAGTGTCAGCTCCTCTGCTGAAAAGACGTGACAGGAACAGTCACAGGAAAAAAACACCAATGATGGTGATCCTGCAAAACCCACTGCAAGCATCACAACATGGGACAAGAAGGCTAGTCACCCCAGCTCCCTTCTCCCGTCACAAGCTCTATGGCCATTGCCCCCCCAAGGACACACCCTCCAGCACTGAGATGTGATCAAGCTGAAAGGGGTCACAGTTGCCCCCCCCAGGCTTAGGGGACAGAGGGGCCCAGCACGCCTCACCTGCCACTGGCCGCCCACAGGCGCCCAGAGCACAAGGGGGTCTTCCCGGCAGTCTTGCAGGACCCACAGCCCCTGGCTCTCCTCAAAAGCAATGTCCCACACTCTGTGCTGGAAAGTCAGCTGCTGTCTGTACACCAACTGCCATCGGGGGGCATCCAGCTGGAAGATGTAGACCACAGGGATACTTCCCACGAAGAAAGAGAGGAAGAGTCTTACAACTCCCACAGGCCCGTGTCAGCGTCATCCAGCACAGACAGGGGCTCAGCACCCAGCCCAGCCTCCCCAAACAGAAGAGCCCTCGCCAACATCGTGGCCACAACCTCCCGAGAGATCTGAGCTGAAGCCCCAGCAGAGCCACCCCCAAAATCCCTGAGCCACAGAAACCGTGAGATGACGAATGTTTAAGTCACCAAGTTCTGGGGCAACTTGTTATGCAGCAAAGATAACCAACAAAGGACAAAAGGAAACCGTGGGGAGAAGATGCTGCACGTGCAGCGCAGCAGACACCAGGCCTGTGCTCAGGCAGGGCCCAGAGAGCACCTTCCCCTCCTCACCCTGCCTTCCATTTCTAAAGCAGGCTACGACGCCCTCCCGTGACTCCTCATACAGACAAAGGAGAAGCGCGGAAAGCACCGACGCCTTTCCTGGCACAAAGATGCTCAGGAGGACACGGCCAAAAGGCACGTGCTACCCAGATCCAATCAACACCCCCAGCCCACCTGGGGGGGATCCACCGTGACCAGCCCTCCCAGGGGGATCCACTGTGACCAGCCCTCCCAGGGGGATCCACCATGACCAGCCCTCGGGTCAGACTGATTGAAGCAGACTCTCCCAGTCAACCCTTAGGTGGGATTCTATCATGCGCAAAGACCAGTGAGAGGCCACTGCTCCCCACTCTACTGGTGGATGGAAAGAGCCAGTAAAAGGGTGCCAACACAATGCAAGGAGCCCACGCCCCTCACACAACAGCAGTCCTCCAGAAGTGAATTCCCTGCAGGGTGATGCTACACCAGTGACACCACCTAGCCCTCCCTAGCCGGGAGACAGACGGTGGGGCAACAGAACAATGCGGCCACCCCCTGCAGGTCTGCAGCTCACCCATCACCCAGGAGCGCCACGCAGTTCTCCCGGTGCCAATACACCATCCTGGCCGCAGCAAATCTCTGAAAGGGAAAGCGGCAGTTTAGCGGCCTATCAGGGACCCAACCCTGGATCCTTCTGTCCCCGCTGCACAGAGTCACTGCACAACTCTGACAGTTCCCTCATACGGTCAAGAACGAGAAAGAGGACACTGCGGGAATGCTCTGGAATGCAGCAAGGGGAGACAGAAAATGCTGACTGCCTATTTCACAAGTGATCGTGCACGCCTGCCTCCCTGGGGCCTTGGCCCGCCCTCTAGAGCCCGGGGAGCATTGCCAAAGCCAAGAGAGCTGGTCCAAGGCAAGGAGCGGGCACAGAGACTCGGGGACCATTAACGCCATACCTGCACCCGCATACCGCAGAGGAGAGGCTGATGTGGGGAGGAAGAGAGGGACGGTGGGCACTCGGCAAGGCTGCCCCTCACCTGCCGGGGCCCCGGGGCGGGAAGCGAGGGGCCCATGAGTCCAGGGCCCTGCTCGCAGCCACAGGTGCCAGCCCGTCGGAGCCCTGCCTGTTCCCTTCCTCTCTGCCCTGAGCTCTCCTCGCCCTGAGAAAGGGACTCACAGCAACCTCGCCACCCAGGGATCAGGATACATGAGGGCCCGGATATGAAGAAGTTTCCAGAACAGATCAGCCTTCGTTTGCCAGGCTTCCAAGGGTGGGCCCCGTGACTGCAGAAACCAAAGCAGGAGGCACCCACAATGGGTGGCTGAGCAGCTGGAGTTTGCTGACCCGGGTCTCCGGGGCCCTGGCCTGAAACAAGCCTGGCTGCAGAGCGGGCTCAGGGTGGACAAGAGAAACACAGAGCCAGCCCGGGGACAAGGCAGATGAGCCACTCACTCACACCAGGCCTCGTCAGACAGGCAAGAGAGCTGAGTTCCTGTGGGCTGGCAGGGTCACAAGAGCAAGTGCAAAGCTGCCCTGAGGACAGGCAGAGGGCACCCTGGCCACCAGAGACCAACCTACATGAGCAGAGCCCTCCCCCATGACCAGGCCCAGGGGGCCTCTGGGAAGCCGGCAGGGCCGTCCACGTGTGACCAGCCTGGACCCCGGCCGTGAAGGGCACAGCTCAGAAGCATCAGAGCTGGGGGCCCACGAGCAGGATCCGGAGCACCCCAAAAGGCAGCCCACACCTCTTCCCCTGAAAATCTCCTTGGCAAAGGAAGGCCCGGGGGACCTGCTCTGGGGACAGGCTGGCCTGCGTGTCGTCCTGGGGGGATCACGAGATTAACTCATGAGGGACAAGAGAGAATGCTGGGGGGTGCTCGGCCCACTGCCCGGCTAATAAGCCCACGGTGAGGCAATTTGCTCAGCACCACCACTTTTCCCATGTCTGAGCGGAACTAGAGGCTTTTCTGTAAATGAGTTGTTCGAAGGCAAACACGGGGAGACGTAAATCATTTCCCTCCTATTGACTCGGTGCCTTTGGAATTTGAAATACATGATTCCTCACAGCTAGAAGCCTGCCTTGACAGCAAAGAAACATTTCCAATGTAAAACGACTTTTTCCACACCACCCCAGTGAGTGGAGAGGCGCCCGCCAGCCCCAACAAACCCGAGATAAACTTGGGGTTACCTTGTCACCCCAAGGCTCCGCCGGCTCCTGCGGGGTGTCCAGGTGACAGCAGTGCAGTTCTCGGCCGCTTCTGTACTCCCAGAGCCTCAGGGTGCGGTCCTGCACACGCCAAGGACAGGTCAGCACACACTCTCAGGGAACACGGCACCCCCATAGCGTCCGGGCTCCAGCAGGTCACGGGAAGGTAACAGCGACAGCCAGTGTGCCTTCAACTAACGCTCTTTGCTCTCAGTGACTGCTGCACAAAGAGCTCGTGCAAATCATGAAGACAAACACAGGGGACCCACACAGCAAAATGGGCAGAGGACATAAGACAATCTAATTGTCAAGTGGCCGGAGGCCAAAGACGTCGGCTATGCTCAGGCTAAGTATGCACACGCTCACACACACACAAACCGCGTCACACACGGATGCACACACAGGCACATCAATGATCATGCATTCACACAGGGAGAGCACAGGGGGCTCACGAGCATGTGCCGGCTGAACGGGTGAGAAGGGGCATCCACTGTAGGAAACTGATGAATGTACCAAGCTTTAGTACTCCAAAGATAAATATAAATGCAGAAGAAGGGGATTTAAATGAACAAACATTTGTTACAGCACTCATCAGAAAGGAGGGAGAAGCCGGCCCCCAGGCCCAGTGGTTAAGTCGGGTGCGCTCCACTTCAGCAGCCTGGCTTCCACTCCCAGGTGCGCACCGACACCCCTCCTCTGTCACTGCCCATGCTGTGGTGGCTCACGTACAAAAAGAGGAAGATTGGCAGTAGATGTTAGCTCAGGACGAATCTTCCTCAGCCAAAAAAAAAGAGGGAAATAGAAGGAACTGCACACGTAAGGAGAACGACGAGACACTGAGTGACATGCAACCTAGTCCACTTACTTGGGCCTCAGCCACAGGAGGACCCCTCCGTGCAGCGTGATTCCGTTACCAAAGCAGATAGACCCGCCCAGGCTGCACACAACTGAATGCTAAGTCTAAGGAGACAGCGTCCCTGTGCCACATGTGCAAAGTTTTCAGTGACCAAAAGAAGAAAAGTCACTTCCCCCAGACTGTGAAGAGCAGGTGTCTCTGGGTTAATCGCAGGACACGAGCACAAATATCTTTCTGCAAATACGACAGATAAACACGGAGACGAACACACAGGTGTGTCTACAGGTGTCCCCACTCACCCCAAAAGTCCCTCTAGAGTGGCGAGAAAAGCATGTTTTAAAACACAAGCCCTTGGGACAGAGATGAGAGACGAGAAGAATGGAAGACAATCACAAGAGGTCAATGAAGGCTGTGACGCTGGGATGGACGAGGGACGGACCGGCCGTGGGAGGCAAGCCCGGGACGCGCCTGTGCACCAGACTCAGGCCGGCCCAATGGGCCTGCAGCAGGGTGGCAGCGAGGGGGACCCATCAGAGCAATCAGACGCCCTGCCCCCGCCACCGACTTCCCAAAAGAAAAATGGGGAGAAAACCGAGCAAATTAAAAACCAAACAGGGAAAACACTGGAGCAACACCTTCAAAAATCTGTGGGAAAAATTACACCAAGATTTCTAACCACCGAGTGCTGGGGCATTTCCACAGGCAGTCTCGTAACACTTCCCCCTGCACCTTCAGAAAGCTGCTGGACGACGCCATCCCCAAAGGAAAGGAGTGAATCCAGAGACAGACAGACAGACAGGGAGGGGTGGAGGAGGGGCGGGCCTCAGGAGATAAGGAGCCACCAGCAAGGTGCCACCAGAGGGATGAAGGGCAAGAAATTGTTCTCCCCACGCAGAAGGAGCAGACAGCAGAACACTGCTCCTACCTCTGCTTCTCGAGCGCCCTGTTCTCTGGAAACACGGGCTGACGGGAAGAGGGCGCAGCTGAGGGAGTTCCAAGGACTTGCCTTGGAGGGGTGGTGGGAGGGATTCGATTCTTCATTATAAGTCCTACAGCAGTATCTGACTTTTTTTTTTTTTTTTTTTTAAAGATTTTATTTTTTTTCCTTTTTCTCCCCAAAGCCCCCTGGTACTTAGTTGTATATTCTTCGTTGTGGGTCCTTCTAGTTGTGGCATGTGGGACGCTGCCTCAGCGTGGTCTGATGAGCAGTGCCATGTCCGCACCCAGGATTCGAACCAACAAAACACTGGGCTGCCTGCAGCGGAGCGCGCGAACTTAACCACTCGGCCACGGGGCCAGCCCCAGTATCTGACTTTTTAAATACGTGCTTTTAATAAAAGTAACTGTCCTTTCCAATGTGCAGGGGGACCACGCCAACGACAATAGGACAAGGGCAGGGCACACAGAGACCGCCAGCACACCAGCCCTGCTTCACTTCTGTAAAAAGGACTGGAGACAGAGTGCTGGAGCTGACAAAGCTAAGCGGTGAGATCACAGGTGTTCATTTTACCTTTCTGTGTGCCTGAGTGTTTCCTTTTTTATTACAAAAAAGACTGGAAGGCTGACAGCAAAATTCACAAAACTGGCTGTGTCTGGGAACTCTGGCCACATTCATTTTCTTTTTATTTTCGTATGACCACACATGGTTTTGAAGAGCAGGACAAGAAAACAGGAAATTAACAACCGGTGAGAAAACAAGCGTGATGCAGGAAAGAACAGCAGTCAGACACCCACAGGACCCAGGGCCGAAATGTCGTCAGCATGTTGACAAGCCCTCCCCGGCAGCCACCCAGGCAGCCACGTCCGAAAAGAAGGGAAGAATCAAACGCCACCGGTAATTCAGACCTGCACTTTGGCAAAACTGCTGCTTAACGGTCCTTCCAGAGATCATTCCTCAGCAGAGACGTGCCTCTACTCACTCAGCTGTTAAGGCTTCAGGCCCAACTTCCGGGACAGAGGCTGCACCTGCTGATCGAGCATCCACCAAGGCCAGGGGCCTCAGCCCGTCTACACCTGTGCACAGGAGACTGGCCCTGGACAGCGTGACAGCCAAGGTGACGGAACCCAGGTCCCTCCAGGACTCAAAGATCACGATGCTATTACAGATGTAACGGCAGCCCTCAGAATGGACTCCGTGCACACCCATTCTAGCTCAACATGCACACGGGTGCGCGCGTGCACGCACACGCGCGCGCATGCACGCACGCACGCGCGCACACACACACACACACACACACACACACACACACACAGCCCTGAATAAACAGCTGTAAGCGAGGAGTGAGCCACGGCCAGCTCTGAAATTCAGAAACAACAAGCACCATCTAGTGGACAGCCACCGACGAGAAGGAACACGCTGACTTCCGACCACAGCCAGGAACAGAAGACAAGCCCATCATGGGGGGACCCCGCCCCCAAGCATGGCTCGGCCCATCATGCTGAGTGGAACCCAGGGACACACGTGCTGGCGCGAAGCACTTACCCCGGAGGAGGATAAAAGCAGCTCGGGCTGGTCAGGCACCACGAAGATGCGGCTCACGAACCTGCAGGGGAGAGCGGCAGAGCGTGAGCCGGGGCCCCAGATCGGCTGTGGCATAGCACATCTGTCAGCTCAAGGAGGAGCCTTCTCCCCCCAGACCCGACCCCGGGCCCTGGCGGAACTGAGAAGAGAAACACGTGTGAGCCGACAGCAGTGAGAGCTGGCGGAGCGCCATGCCATTCTTGGGGCCCCAGGATGACAGGCTCCAGCAAGGGTGGCCCCCAGGTCCACAGGCTCCCCTGCCACGCCTGCTGGAAAGATCCATGAGTGTCTGTGATGCTCTGGAGCTGCCCTGCACACAGCACTGCACCTGTTCCCACGAGACCCTCATCCACAGTCCCTGATGACGAGGACCCCTGGGAGGGTCCCAGGGTGAGACTCACAGGACAGAGCATGGATGGAGAAGGGCAGCAACGCTGACCAGCAGCCAGAACCAGGCCTCCTGTCCCCCACACCAAGGGCCTGAGCAGCCCGGCGCCCCCAGCACCCATCTCCGTCTACCAGCGCAGCCGCAGCCTCCAGCTCCGCCGGGGGACAGGCTCCCCGCTCTGCTCCCAGCTCAATCACAAATGCAGCGCTCCCGGGGACCCTGCGAAGGGGGCTGGCGTGGCTCCCTTGCTCCACTATCCCCCCTGGCCTGGGCCCCGCCCTGGCCCAGCCGCCCCCGACCAGGGCTGCCTTCCACACAGGCGCCTGGGGTTCTAACTTCAGGTGCTTGAAAAGGAAAAAGGACACGCTGTGGGACCAATACAGCCTGCGTCCACCATGAGAGCATGGCACGTCCACTAGAGGGTGCAGTCCCCTCCTTGTCCCCACTGGAAAGGGGCGGAAACCACAGTTTCCATAGGACCTTAAACGAGATTCTTACAAATCAACCGTCACTCACTCACTGTGCTGTCTGCCGAGCCCCTAGAGGGCCAGACGTGGGAGTGCTGGAGGCAGCAACGAGCTAGTGCACCCAGGCCTCTGATTGGGGCCTGGGGGGAGGCAGACAACAGGACGAGCCACCACGTGAGCCATGGACGGCATTTTACGTTTGCTACAACCACGTTAACAAAAGTAAACAGATGCAGGTGAGATGCTATGTTTTGACTTAATATATCCAAAATATTATCATTTCTACCTGCAATCAATATAGCGAATTAATAATGAGCTGTTTCTACATTCTTTTTCACACAAAGCCTTCAAAATCAGGTGTTTTATGCTAACAGCACATCTCACTTCAGATCCATTGCCGTAGCTCGTGGCTCCTGTCCTGGGCAGCATGGCTAAGAAGAAAGGCACAGTGTGGAGGGGGCCGAGGGGGGGTGCTCCTCAAGAGAGGGTGGGAGGCCTTCCTGAGAAGGTAAGAGGTGTTGAGCAGAAAGCTGAGGAAGTGAAGGAGGGCGCAGAGCCGTTGGGAAGGGCATGCCCGTGAGCAGGAACAGCACGTGCAAAGGCCCTGAGACAGGAGTGTACCAGGCTGGGGTGGGGAGCCGCAGACCCCAGTGAGACACAGAACGGGGCGAGTGCTGGAGGGCATGCAGGTCATGAAAACTCTGGGTGCTGGATTACCAAGGACTGGGATAAAGTCAAAACGAGCTGCCAGGAGGTACCAACTGAGGGCTCACGGACCTCCAGAAAGGTCAATTCTTACACTCCTTTCCAAACCAAGGGGACAGGAGCAACCTCAGAACCGAAATAATCCCTCTGACGTCGTCCACTGCCCCTGACAACACCGTCTACAGCATCCGGCCGAGGAAGCCAGGTGCTTCTCCGTGGAGCACTGGCCACCAGCCCTCCACCCGAGGACGGCGGCACGGTCCTCAGGAATGCCTCCCGTCTGCGATCTCAAAACGCACTCCTGAGAGCGCACTCACCAGGACACGGATACAGTGAGGAGGCCACTCACTTCTCGGACAGTTCAAAGCACTCAAGCTCGTTCCTGTCCCCAGTACCTGCTTAGTGATGCCAACGACGGCCAGGTACCAGTGGGTGTCTACACCAAGAGGAGTTTTCCAGAAGCAAGCCCTGAGCTGCTGTGGACCCATGGTGAGGACAGGAGAGCAGAAGCACCGGCCGGGCGTTACACAGGCTCCCTCAGGGAGCACAACACACGCCGTGCTCAGGACCACGGCCGAACCGTCAAGGCCAACAGGAAAGCTCTCCTGGGACCTGGGGTGGGGGGGGGAGGGAGGGGGAGGGGTCGGTGCTCACTCCGTGTGCCCCAGGCAGAAGGCCTCGATGCTGTGCGGCGCCGCGGCCCAGCTGACCCGGATCTTCTCGTCCCGGTCGGCGGTGAGGATGAAGAGGTCGTCGGGACTCACGGCCTGTGTGCAAGGGGTGAGAAACAACAGATCAAACGTCCTCCGCCCACCCCTACAGGCCCCGTCTCCAGGCCCAGTTCCTCGGCTCTACACCAGGCTGTACCCACTCCACCTCCAGCACCCTAGGTCACCTTCTTCTTTCACGTGTCCCCGTGTCCAGCCAGTCACCAAGTCCTGGTGGTCTTCTCTTCCCCTGTTGTTCTCATGGGGACCCACCCCAGCTCCACTGCCCCCTGGCTGCAGCCTGGCCCTCACTGGGCCTCTGGGTGCCTCTTGGGGGGGCAGTCCCTGGCTCGGGGGTTGGGAGGACCGCAAGGTAATGCCCGTAAAGCACGGAAGATGAAGCTCATGCCCCTCCGCCTTGTCACCCCAACCTGGGCTGTCCCTCACTTCTGGAACCATGGGCCACCTCCCGACCCACCCATCTTCTTTCACCCTGCTGTCAGCTTCACCCTTCTAAATTCCATTCCTACGGCTCTCCTGCCCACAAATCTGCAGGGCGCTATGCCTGCCACAGGGGAACCCAGACCCCTGACTCAGCGCGCAGACCCAGCCTCGGCCCCCTTGCCAGACCCTCCCACCTCGGCCCCACCTGCGCCTGACCACAGCAGCGTCCATTAGGCACATCGCCCACATACCACATCCAGCAACATCGACAGGTGTCCGAGTTCCAGCTTGCCGCATCCGTGTGGCTCTAGCACCGAAAAGGAATAAACGTCCCCAGACTTATCTGCCACCAGAACCTTCTCCTCGGAGGCTGTGAAAGTCAGGGCTGTGCACCTCCTCACCACCATCCTGGAAGGCCAGAGATGCCGACAGTCGGCTCACACAGGTCAGCCCAGGAGCCTCCCACAAACCCACAAGCCATGCATCCTGCCAGCATGCGTCAGCTCCTTGCCGTGTGCCTCCTTTTTTAGTTACCAAAGACGGTGCCAACGAAACAAATCAATTAAGAGAACAGAAACAAAGCCAATGCCTTAAACAAATTTTGCTTTTATAATACTTTCTTTACAAACATCTGCTTCTAATGCCAGAACCTGGGTGGTGGGTATCTAGGTATTCAACATGAAACCCACTTTACTGGATGTTTGAAAACCGTCATCACGAAATGTTGGGGGAAGCTGCTCCTGGACCCCAGCACCCCTGTGGTGCATTCGGCATGACGCAATGGTCAGTCTCACAAAACACCAAACGTGCTCTGGGGCGCCGTCAAACCTGAAGGCACACTACACCACGGGGGGCCCTGCCGCCCCTGCAGCTTCCCATCCAGGACCCCCGAGCCCACACTCCAACCCCGTGGCTCTCGTGACAACCCACTGCTTGTTCTGCTGCGCTGGACCAGGAATCCCAGTGTGCTGCTCACTCACGACATCCCTGAAATGGGGGCTGTCACCAATACCCTGAGGGCTGGGGCGGAACACAACACGGGGCCACAGTGATAACAGCACTCGTCATCGTTGGGGCAACTCTGGAGGCACAGCCGCCAGGGAGTCTGAGTTCCAGCCCAGTCTGTATTAAAATCAGCACGCTCACTAATTCAAACCTTTGATCCGGATTCATGGGATGTGTCATGTTTGTGAGCTGGTTCAGTAACAGTGACAGCATAAGAAACTGTTACAGCCCACACCTCGTTTGTACTGACACAGGCCCCACAGCCACACCTACCCACCCAGGGGACGGGGCTGCCGCTGTTTCCTTCTGTTGTTTTTCATTTCTACTGGGATCTCTTCCAAGTAGCAAAACCCACCCCCCACAAGGCAAGGCATCTGTATTTTTATCCTATATTAGACAGAAGCTGTGCCACTGCCTTACACACAGACGTTACATTGTCTAGGTTTACAACCTCTCCACAGAAGAGCGGCTGTCCCTGTTCTCCTTTGTCACCCAGGGGGTGGAAATGGACCCACCTCCCCGGCAAAGAGCTAATGTCCCTGCAGACGTTGCCCGGCTCACTGCAGCTGGAACTCCAGATGTTAGCTTAAAATGGAAACCGAAGCTTCAAGGAATTATGTTCCCAACACAAGGACCAAACAGGACCCCGGCACTTCTCAGGAGTGGAGGGACAAAGGGATAGAAAAACCAAGGGAGGAGGCCTCGGGCTGTGTCCCAGGCGTCTGCCACCAGGCCCCCGGCAGCGCTAAACCTCCTCCGCTCATTGGTGCCAGTGGAGCTGCAGGAGGGAGGCGTAATGTGATAAATACAGAGAAAACAATGACAAAAGAAAGATAATGAGGCTCCAGGGCCAGATTAATCAAAATTCTGAGAGTAGCTGTAATTTAAACCAACGGCCCACGCTGAGCCAGCAGCACAGCCGCCCGTCGTAAAGGGCTAATGAAGCAGCTGCCAGGAGCTCGGCCACGGCGTCAGCTCTGGAGGAACAGCCACGGTCAGTCCTTCAGGACTGAGGGGCCCAGATTCCAATGGGCTCGCCCACCCCGGGGGGAACGAGCACCCCCCACGGTGCCGGCCCTCGCACCAGGCTGGGCACAGAAATGTCTCCACTCCGTATACTGTCCCTTTAGTCTTGTGCCAGCTGGGGGCTTTCAGCTCCTCAGGCGAAATTCGTCCTGGCCATGATTCCAGGATGCGGCTCAGCTGTACGGAGCAGGTTTGGGGTTAGGGTCCTAGACAGTCAGGTCGCAGATGGGGGGACAGGTCATCGGACAGGACAGTCGGTGGGCGGGCCTTGCTGCCCCAGTGGAAGTAGCCTCGGGGGCAGAGGCAGCCACCCCATCAACTCCAGCCCCAGAAGAGTCTCGGGTCTCCGCACCTTCCCCCTCCGCCAGATTCGCTGGGTTTGCGGCCTCGCACTCGTCTCCTCAGGCCCCCCAGGGCCAGCGCGGCCCTCTCCTCTGTGCCAGTGACAAATGAAGCGGCCACTGGAGAGCACTGAGCTGTGAGCGAGTCCCACAGTGGCGTGGGGCCTCAGTCAGTCAAATGTGGATCAACGGCCAGGCCTGGAAACCCCTGACAATGAACTGACCATTAGATGTGTCATGGATGGGCATTTTCCTCAGGAGGGGGTCCATCAGACCCAGAAGGGGCCTGTGCGCCAAAAGTAAAGAGCCGCCAGGTTGGCGGAACGCTCCGTCCGCCCTCAGCGTAACGTCCGCCGGACAGCACAGGGGCGACACCACCTGCCGCGCATCCTCCCGGTCACCTCTGCTCGCGGCACAAGCTCTCCTCCTCCTTCCCCACTCTCACAAAACCTTCTCCACCAGAAAAATCTCCGAATGCCCATTAGCGAGAAAGGGGAAAGATTTCATTCGACACAACTCTAAAAAGTTCACAAAGCCAAAATTCTAAAGGCATAAAAAACAGCACTGAAGAATTCGTCCAGGGCACTGGGTGCGGGGGGGCGTCAGTAACTACACATCTGGCTAGGACCAGGGGCCTCCAAAAGCTCAACACAGAGAACGACGAGGTGCTGAGTTCAGGGCCAGCTACAGGGAAAGGCCACGTGAGAAATGCCACCCCTAGACCTGAGACACCGTCTGGCCCCACCCCTTTATTCGATGGCTGACAGGCGAGGGCGGGAATAATATGGGGGGCAGGCACACCCGTGGGGCGGGCACACGTGTGGGGCAGGCACACCTGTGGAGCTGGGCACACGTGTGGGGCAGGCACACCTGTGGGGCGGGCACACGGGGTCCATATGACTCCCAGGCCTGCAGTGTTTGCAGCATAAGACGTGCCTCCTATGAGCAACACTGTGGACACTCTGGACTTTGTCATTTGCTCCCTTAATTTCATCCAATCACATTACTTGTCTTCTATGCCACCCAGTGCAAATGTTTCCTACACAAAGTTACTTTGTTGATATCAATTTAAAAACCAACAAACACACAATTAAAGGGAAAAGTGCCAGATACCAACGACTGTGCGCCCACCCTCTGAGGGTTACTGGGAATCACCAACATACTGCCTTGAAGACAGGACAAGAGCACAGCACCTGCCCAGCCCCACAACATAGAGCACCGTGTGGACACCCATCCTGCGCCTTGCACTCAAGAGGCCCCGCCCTAAATTCTCTTACTGAAAAGCCGGGCAGCACACCGACCCGCGTGAGAGTCGGGGACACTCTAGCTTCCTCCCTTATCAGACCCCGCACAGGGCCGTGTTCCCTTCTAGAACAATCAGAGCCCCCAGGAGTCCTGGGCACTTGCCCTTCCATCGAGCGCAAGCTCCACTGTTAGGACCCAGGAGTGCAGGCAGGCCGTGTGGACGCCCTGTTCCCAAGTTCAAAGTGAAGTGCTACCTGTGAGCAGGGCACCTGTATGGATGTAACGTGACCTTTCACTCCTTTGTCCAGGTTCTAGCAACTTGCGAACTTCCACCTCTAAAGCGAGGGCAAGCTCTCTGCCGACTCACAAGGCCACCAGCTGGGCCCAGCGCCTGCACCCACACCTTCAACAGAAAATGGTCCCTGTCCCAGCGGGGGGGCCCCAGGGGTCTGAAGCCCCAACAGTACGCACACCCACTGTGTACAGGCATGTGTCTGACTGACGAGGTACATGCTGAGAAAGGCGTCGTCAGGCGATTTCGCCATCGTGCAATCACAGAGTGCACTTACACAAACCTAGCGGTACAGCCCACTACACATCTTGGCTACAGGCACTAATCTTTCGGGAGCACCATCCTATCTGCAGCCTGTTGTTGACTGAAACATGGTTATGCGCTGCATGACTGTAGCAAAGGATATCTAGGCCCCGTGACATCTATGTTCTGGCCGAGCTGCTGACGTCTTTCCCCACCAACACTGAGCTCCCACCCGTCCTTCAGATACGTAGAAATAAGTGCACTAATTTAAAAACCTACTGAATTAAAACTGTGGCAGAGATGCCCTAACTGAAACAAAAGCCCTGACACTCAGGGTGCATGCTGACATTCTTTATTTCTGCTGCTGTAAGGCTGGAGGAACACTGTTTGGAAAGCAGGGTGGCACAGTGCCAGGGGCACCGACTCCAGAGCCAGAGGGACCAGGTTCAAGGGGTGGCTCTGCCCTTCTGAGCTGACTGCATGGGGTCAGCTTCCAGACTTCTGGCCAGTGGGGTGGGAGAGAACGATGCCCCTGCTCCCATCACGGGGTTGTTACAAGGATTCAATCAGTTAACACGAGTAAAGTGCCAAAAAACAGTGCCTGGCCCAGAAGTGGTGCTACGGGTTAGTTACTTATTCCTACTGTCACTGTCACTATCGTTAGTGGCATGCAAGTGTAAGCTGTGAGTTTGACATCATAATTATTCAACGTTAGCATTTCATACCTGACACTCAGACATTGCCATGGTTTTGTACGGAAAAGAATCAGACGCTTACTGTCATCTGTTAAAGCAAAATAGCTGCCAGACGTGGAGAAGGTGGAGGCCAGGATCGTGTCACTCCCCTGATCCACGGGTGGTCCGTCCTCCCTGGGAGAGAGGAGGAAAGCGGTTAGGCCTTTCCTGAGTACATGCGGCTGCGTTCCTCCGCCAGCCTTGTTAGTTTACACTGCGAGCAGGGGTAGAAAATGTTGTGAGGCTCGTGTAGCCAGAATATAAGACATATTAAGGGGACATGGGGAGGTTCAAAACAGCTCTTTTTTTTTTTTTTTTTTTTTTTTTGAGGAAGATTAGCCCTGAGCTAACATCTATTGCCAATCCTCCTCTTTTTGCTCAGGAAGACTGGCCCTGAGCTAACATTCATGCCTATCTTCCTCTACTTTATATGTGGGACGCCTACCACAGCATGGCGTGCCAAGCGGTACCATGTCCGCACCTGGGATCCGAACCAGCAAACCCGGGCCGTGAAAGCTGAACGTGTGCACTTAACGGCTGCATCACCAGGCCACCCCCAAAACAGCTCTAATTTTTTTTTTTTTTTTTTAAGATTTTATTTTTTCCTTTTTCTCCCCAAAGCCCCCCCGGTACATAGTTGTGTATTCTTCGTTGTGGGTTCTTCTAGTTGTGGCATGTGGGACGCTGCCTCAGCATGGTCTGATGAGCAGTGCCATGTCCGCGCCCAGGATTCGAACTAACGAAACACTGAGCCGCCTGCAGCGGAGCGCGCGAACTTAACCACTCGGCCACGGGGCCAGCCCCAAAACAGCTCTAATTTTTAAGGAGTGAAACCTAATTAAACAGAAAATCTCTCAGCATACTTGCCAGAATGCAAAGAGCTGAGCTGGAAAGACCCTGAGAGATCACAGGGCCCCTTCCCTCATGGACATGAACTAATCCAAGACTGGAGGTGGGGATTAAATCACTAAGTAAACTGGGCCACGAGACCAACTCTACTAAAGAAAGCCACCACACAAAATTATCACTCTGCCATTCTTACCTTTCAAGTAGCTAAAGTTAATTTCATACACTTGCCTTCAACGCATTTAAAATTGCACTGTCATTTTAAGATGCCAATAAAATAATTACTGACAAAAACTAAATTTGTGAAATTATTTTGGAAAGTCCTAATATTCTTAACGCATAATTTGAAAGTTAGTTACACATTTCTTTCCTGAGGTGGTACCTGGTTTATCCACGCAGCATGGTAACAGAAATGAATTCAGCAAGTGGAACGGCAATTTACTCCTTAGGCTATCTGGTCCCATTATTCAAACCATGAATCAGGCCCCGAAGAGGTTTCCCCATCATCTCACCCTTTATTTTCTGGTGACTTCTTTTCGGCAGTACTGCAATCATATGTGAAGAGGCTGTCATCATCACTAAAGAAAAATAACAGATTTTAAAAGGAGGACTTTGTTAATAAAAATTCTCATTTTTTTTTCCTGGAACAAAAAATATTCACATATTCATTAAATTAAGGGTCTTAGCCACAACAGGAAATTGTCTAGGTACGCTATTTCAGGGAACAGTCAAGCAGCTTTATTTGCCTAATCTCCTATTTAGATTTGCCATACACGACTGGCATGGTTCTGTCCAAAAAAATCAGTTAAGTAAAATAAATGAGGACAAAAACTCAACAGGAAGTAATACACTATTCTTTCAGGCACTAGAAAATCAATGCAAGATGGTTATGTTAGAAGAAATTGTGCTCTGATATTGTTGAGTTTTCAGGGAGTGTTTTGCACCCGAATTTAAAACTATTTCTTTAGAAAAATGTCTCACCTCCCCAAAAGAGTTCCCATCGCTGCCAAGCACTTAGCAATAATAGAAGCCACCCATCTTCCCTACCAGACCCTAAGCTCTCCTCGGTTTATCCCGCCCCGCCTCCAGCGCCTGGCACAGGCAATGCATCTTGTACAAACATACAGACTTTAAAGTGACTGCCCCCAAACTCTCCTCACATGGAACACTGTAGTGTAGAAACAGTAGTAGTCCTCCAAGTCAGAAACACTGCCGGCCACTGGATTTCCTCAAAAGGCAGAGACTGAATAAGCAGATCAAGTGTAATATACCCATGTCACCTTGTGGCATGTTAGATACTATGAGTCTCTGAAACAAAATAATCTGAGCAACACAACAGGTTTGTGAGCAAATTTTCTGTGAAATCTAAATTTAACATCGAATTGGATTTCTGAAACCAAAGGGTGAACAAAGAGCAGAGTGCATTGACATTTGATAGCCACATCATCTGTTTCAAGTACGAGAGAACCAAAACTACCCTAGGAAAGGAACCAAGGGGCCGAAACTGACCACTACTACTATCCATGAGGGTCCTGGGTCAAGACTATTCGATCAACAAACATTTACTGATTTAAAAATCCCGGGCGTTGTGTAAGCACTGTGGAACGATAAGGAAGGAGCGTGAAATTAGGGAAAGCAAAAGCAGAACCGTGCAAAGGGCCACTATGAAGGTGTGCACTGCGGGCTCTTGGGTGCGGCCTTGAGTAAGGAGGTGTGGAATAAGACCCCCGAATCCTGAAGCTTAAGCAGGGCGGGGTCGACGGATGGGGATGAGGATGAGGAAGCAGGCACCACTGCAAGGAGAGGGAGTGTCCCACGGCTCAGTCTGTCCGAACGCGTTCCCCGAGAGTAAACCCCTCTCACCAGGGAAGCCGGGGCCGCCTTCCTCCTTACGCCCCAGAGCGAGTCTGGCCGGCGTCCCGGGGACCTCGCACTGACCCAAGCCTGGCCTGCGTCGCCCCACGTGACCCGGCCCCGCCTGGCCCCCGCAGAGTCCCTAAGTGTCCGGTGCTGCCCGGTCAGATCGCCGCAGACCGGCCACCGAAGGAGCAGGGCACTGGGCAGGCAGCAAGGGGCGCGTCGGGGGCAGGTCTTGGGAGAAGGGAGCGGAGCGCAACGTTTCACGGCGCGGGCACGCCGTCCGGCCGGGGCGGCGGCAGAGGGCCTGCAGGCAGTACCGGGGCTCCCCTGAGATCACCCCAGAGCGGGCGCAGCCCCGGTGGCGCGGGGAATCGAGGTCTCCAAGCCCGGACGCGCGCCCGCTGCCTGGGCTCCCGCTCTAAGCCCAGAGCCCTCACCTGCTCGAAGTGGAGGTGGCCAGGAACCGACTGCCGCCCCGGACCACCACCACCTGCCCGCAGAGAGACAGCCCCACGGAACTCGCCATATGCCTTCCTGCTGAGCTGCCACCCACGTGCGCCCGCCAGGCGCCTCTTCCTGCAGGCACCAGACAGTGACGTCACGCGCAGGCGCTGCGAGGTGACGTAGCACCTGCCCATAGCCATCCAAGCGGGGCCCTGGGCATGCGCAGAAGGTGCTCTCTGCTTTCCACCTTCAGACTTCTGTGCCTATGGGTGGTTCATGATGATCCCTGACTAAGTTCGTCTGGGTGATATATATGCCACACGTGATAACACTTGTTTGCTTAGTGTTCTTTTCCTTCCAACTGGGTAGGGCCAGTTCTGGATCTTTGTCCGCTGTAGCTTGGTATTGTAGGGGAGGAAGACATTTCCTTTTCCCAAATGTGGGTTCATCTGGCCGGAGAACGAATTAAATTCACATGAGACAGAATAGCAAGAGAAAATTAAACAAAGCTTTATGAGGAACCATGGCCCGGGGTCTTTCTTCCCGAAGGAAGAAAGGACACCGAAGAATTGGGGTGTACAGAGTGGTTATAAACCCCCAAACAGGATATTTCACATATGATTGAAATGTCCCTCCCACAATAGTCACAAGATTGCCCTGTCAGCACAGCGCTTGATGGACACAGCAGGTAGTGGTCTGCTGTCTCAGAGGGCGCAGCAGGAGGCAAGTCTATCGTCTGGAGCTGGGTGGTCACAGGTGAGCGCAGCAATCAGTTCCCAGCCTAAGGAAAGATGCTTAATCCTTAAAGAAATGCCAATGTTGGGAGGGGGAGGGAAGTCAGTTACAGGAGGTTACCAGACAAGCACAATAAAATGCAGATTTCAGTCCTTGCCTTTGGCATTGATTAAGAGTTTCTAGAGAGAAGGTCATCTCCTTTCTTCTTCCTGGTACAGAGAGGGAGACACCTTTTACAGATAGAGATTTACCTTACAAATGTAAATGTGTCCTAACAAAGGGCAAGTTCCATTCCTCAGAGCCTCCTTCCCTGTCCCAGTTTATCCAAAGCAATCAGCCTCAAATAATCCTGATGCCAAAGAGACATATCTTGGGGTGGCCAATTCCAGTCCCCCACAGTATGGTACCTATGAGGTCCTTAGCAAATATCCCTTGAAGAAATGGGTGAGTTTTGGAGAAAAGAAAGTCTGTTCAATAAATGGTGCTGGGAAAACTGGACAGCCACGTGCAAAAGAATGAAAGTAGACCGCTATCTTACACCACACACAAAAATTAACTCAAAATGGATCAAAGACTTGAATCTAAGACCTGAAACTATAAAACTCATAGAAGAAAATATAGGTAATACACTCTTTGACATTAGTCTTAGCAGGATCTTTTCCAATACCATGTCTACTCAGGCAAGGAAAACAAAAGAAAGAATAAACAAACAGCACTTCATCGGACTAAGAGCTTCTGCAAGGCAAAGGAAACCAGGAACGAAACGAAAAGACACCTCACCTGATGAGGATTTTTAGGCTGCTTAATTTTAAAATGGTTTATGATGAGGATTTTAGGCTGGTTACTTTTAAAACTGCAGATGAGAAGCAGGCTCCGAGGACTGGAATTTTGCTTGCCCTTTTGAGACATTTGCGTTTGTGAAGGAAGGGGGGATGACCTTGTAGGGACCTGAAATTGGCCACCCCAGGATATGTCTCTTTGGCATCAGGATTGTTTTGGGCTTGATGCGGGGTCGGTGAGCCGAGGAGTCGAAAGAAAGATTTCTTAGACTCTCAAGATCTGGCAGTAGTGCTCTTTTATTTAGAAAATAGTGTGGAATAGCATGGGGACAGGACCCATGGGCAGTCAGAGCTTCTGCTGCCGCCGCTTCTGCTGCCCCCGCTGGCATGAGGACAGAGCCCATGGGCAGGCAGAGCCGCTGCTGCTGCCCCCGCTGGCATGGGGACAGGATCCATGGGCAGGCAGAGCTGGTGCGTGGGGACAGGACCCACGGGCAGTCAGAGCTCCTGCTGCTGCTGCCCCGAGTTGAGGGTTAGGACTAAATTTAAGGCATAGGTATGTGAGTTATCTCTTTACAAGACAAAGAATATGTAAAAAAGTTAAAATGGTAGATAAGAATCAAACCGGATTGAGTAAATGGCAGAAGTCACCGCTTGAATTTTATCCTCGGCTAAAGACAAAGGAGGATTTGTGGGGGGGGAGGGTCAGTTACATGAGGTTGCCAGACAGTAACCAACTTAAGTTCTTGCCTCTGGCATTGACCAAGAGCCTCTAGAGATAAGACCATCCCCCCCTCTTCCTGGCACAGAGAGGGAGGCATCTTCACAGATAGAGGTTTCCCTTAGAAATGTAAATGTTTCCCAACAAAGGGGCAAACAAATTCCATTCCTTGGAGCCTGAATCTCATCTGTAGTTTTAAAACTAACCAGCCTAAAAATCCTCATCATAAGCCATTTTAAAATTAAGCAGCCTAAAAATCCTCATCAGGCTGATTGCTTTTGATGGGCTGGGACAGGGAAGGAAGCTCTGGGGAATGGAACTTGCCCTTGTTGGGACACATTTACATTTGTAAGGTAAATCTCTACCTGTAAAACGTGCTTCCCTCTCTGTACCAGGAAGAAGAGGAGAGATGACCTTGTCCCTAGAAACTCTTAATGGGGAAGGCAAGAACTTAAGTTGGTTGCTGTCTGGCAATCTCATGTAACTGGTTTAGGGTGGTGGCGTCTAACCTTTCTAACCTTTACTTAATCCGATTTGATTCTTGTCTAAAAGTCATGGGATCACCGAATGACCAGACCCCACCTGCACTGATACCATTTTAACTTTTTTTCATGTTCTTTCCTTTGTCTTGTAAAGAGATGAATCATATACCTATACCTTAAATTTAGCCCTAACCCTCAACTCGGGGCAGCAGCAGGAGCTCTGACTGCCCGTGGGTCCTGTCCCCACACACCAGCTCTGCCTGCCCATGGGTCCTGTCCCCATGCCAGCGGGGGCAGCAGAAGCGGCAGCAGCAGAAGCTCTGACTGCCCATGGGTCCTGTCCCCATGCTACACTATTCTCTAAATAAAAGAGCACTACTGCCAGATCTTGAGAGTCTAAGAAATCTTTCTTTCAACTCCTCGGCTCACCGACCCTGCATCACCACCAACTGAGAGAAAATATTTGCAAATCACGTATCAGACAAGGGGTTAATTTCCAAAATATATAAAGAACTCATACAACTCAACAACAAAAAAATGAACAACCTGATCCAAAAATAGGCAGAGGATATAAACAGACATTCTTCCAAAGAAGACATACAGATGGACAACAGGCACATGAAAAGATGTTCAACATCACTAATCCTCAGAGAAATGCAAATCAAAAGTACACTAAGATACCACCTTACACCTGTCATAATAGTTATAATTAGCAAGATGGGAAATAATAAGTGTTGGTGAGGATATGGAGAAAAAGGAACCCTCGTACTCTGCTGGTGGGAATGCATACTGGTGCAACCACTATAGAAAACAGTACGGAGATTTTTTTAAAACATTAAAAATAGAACTACCATATGATCCAGCTATCCCGCTACTGGGTATTTATCCAAAGAACATGAAATCAACAATTCAAAGAGATTTATGCACCCCTGTGTCCGTTGTAGCATTATTCACAATAGCCAAGATGTGGAAGCAACCCAAGTGCCTGACTGATGGTTGGTTAAAGATGTGGTGTATATATACAATGGAATACTACTCAGCCAGAAAAAGAAGACAAAGTCGTGCCATTTGTGACAACATGGATGGACCTTGAGGATATTATGCTAAGCAAAATAAGCCAGACAAAGACAAATACCATATGATTTCACTCTTACATGGAAGATAAACACATAAAGAGAACAGATTAGTATTTACCAGTAGGGGAGGGGGGAAGGGGTAAAGGGGCACATGCGTATGGTGAGGAATAAAAACTAGACCATTGGTGGTGAGCACGATGCAGTCTATACAGAAACTGAAATATAATCATGTACACCTGAGATTTATATAATGTTAGAAATCAATATGACCTCAATAAAATAATGTTTTTTAAAAAAAGAAGTAGGTGGGTCTGAGTTGACATCGAGGTCCAGGATGTGTGTCGGTGTGCGTGCCTGAGGTGGGCTCAAAGCTGAGGTCACTGGAAGTAAACTCTACACTTAGATAAGCTAAAAGCCCCTGAAGGGCTGTTTTTTAACCCAAGATAAGGCTCCTTTTCAATGTTCTTTTGCTCCAGGAGTGGCATCACCAATCACCAGCTGCACAAGATTATTTCTTAGGACTTGCGCCCCCATATTGCACACTATTCATCTAATTACTTAACTCCTCTTCTGGATGCTCCCCCTCGCCGTCTCTATGGCCTCTGGCTCAATCCAAACCACAACAATCCCACTGCTTGCTGATCTCCACATCTGCCCTTGTTCCCTGAAGATCCACTTTACACACTAAAGCCAGGGAGATCTTTTCAGAACACAAATCCAATCATTTCATCCCCCTACTTAAAACCAACAGGGGGCTTCTCATTGCTCTCATGACAAAGACCAAATCCCAATGGTGCACTACGAAGCTGCATGTGGTCTGCCTCCCACATACTCTGAAACCTCATTCCCTACCAGGCCTGCTTCATCCTCTGTCTAGCCATGACTGCCCTTCCCCTTCATTGGCACAATGCTCTTACTAACCACAGGGCCTTAGCACATGCTATTCTTTCTGCCTAAAATTTTCTCCCCACCACCCCATCTCTTTACTGTACCTAGTTAATTCCAATCACCCAATGCATCCCAGTGGAGTCATCACTTAATCAGGGAAGCCTTCCCTGCCTGTCCATTCTTTGCATTCATAGCACCATGGTTATTTGTTTAATGTCTGCCTCCAGACCACAAATGCTAGGAGGGCAAGGACTGACACCTAATTTTGCAGGTCACTATTACCCTAGCCTGCAGCACAATTCCTGGATGAAGTCAGTGCTCAATCAATATTTTCTGAGTAAACAGATGGAACAAAGAATTGACTGTCTTAAAGGAGCCGCCATTTCTACACGAGAGTGAAGGAATAATGACAGGCAGCAGCATAGGAAACTAGGAGAATGCTGACCCAAACCCCACCTCCTCTATGCATTAA